TGCAACACTGATAGTTGCACATACGCGTTTGTGCAATGTCATCCCTTCCCTGGTCCAATGTCAAAATGTGCATACCGAATTGCACAGATTGGAGTGTACTTGGCGATGCCGCAATACAGGTAAAACCGGTATGCGGTATGCGAAGTCTCGCTAATCCGCATAGGGCTGTTACACGCGAAACCAGGCGCGTGCAGGGCTTAGTGTCAACAGACGGTTCGGTGTTTGTCAACCCAAGGAGAGTCGTCGATCCGTCAATTGTGCGACCAATGAATAAAAAAATCCGTTGAAAGCGCTTAAACTCTGTGCATTGAGTGAAAATCGGGCAGTAACAGTGTGCCATAAGCAATACAGCTGCGCTTTTGGCGAATAGGTGGCGGGAAAATTAACACGAGGCGAACAACTAATAGTGGTTTATAAAAGAAACGTCGATATATTATGTATGGTTGAGTATGGCAAGTTGTGCTTATATGCTGTGTTTTACACGACCGTTTTGGGCACGTTGGTGCATAGAGCCAATGTCAGTGTGGTGGTGTACCGCCAGATTACACACCCCCTTGTCGTGTCTTGGGTGCCAGCTTTCCATGCGAGTCACGTGCTGACCTCGAGATTTCGGGTCAAGCTGTGACTGGTCAGAGTGCACTGTCAACAATTTAGCGTTGAGTGCCGAATTGGATTCGACGCTGAGTTGTCACGTGCTGACCTCGAGATATCGGGTCAAGCAGTGACAGGTCAGACTGCTCTGTCAACAATTACTGTACAGTGCACTGCACCTGCTAGGTTTCGGTTCGGAAATTGATCCACAATTATCTTCCAGAAATTGAGCCATGCAACCAATAATGTTTCAGATCGACACGTAAACTGCCTACTGATTTATTTTCGCCACGCAACGCTGTCAAGTGGAGCCAATAGTCGCCTAGATTCCTCAACGGAAATCAGCGCGAAAAAAATGGTTCGGAAGGCACACGGAGGTTCGGTTTGGTTTGCGAAACACTTTCACAGTGGCAGGTACAGGGAGGTTCAGTTGGGTGGGGCTCGTCCAGAACGAACAATCCTCCCCGGCCAAAACGCGGCGCGCCCAAAATCAATCACACATCTGGTACACCAGATTTTTGGCTATTAGAACACAAGCTGATAAGAGTCCCCAAAAGGTGGCACTAGCGCGCTAAAACGTAACTCACCTCTTCTAAACTCACTGATACGAGGTTGACTCTATAACGTGGGTGATGACATCGACTTTGACGACGTGGGGTTCTGACGACGGGCATTTAGTATAAATGAGCAAGTTATATTGAGAAACAGGGTGTACCGCTGGCTCTTCCCATCCACCCCAGAGCACCAAAGACCGCAACAAAGCTTGGGGAAAAACAAAGTTAGGAGTGAAGTTAGAAAATAGTACCCTCGCCTCCCGTTCCCACCAACATTAGCCCTACTAGTACTAGTAGACTCGTATCATCTCGCCCCAGAACAGTAATACTACTTCTACTAGTAGTAGTACTATTAAGCATGACATCGCGAAAGTGTGAGGCCGGAAAAGTTGCAGACCAGCAACTTCAAAGTTGCTTCTCCGCAACTTTGGTTTCGGAGAAAAAAAGTCTAGGTCAAAGGCTTTTGTGGTGGGGTGACTTCAAAGTTGCGGAAAAGTGACGACAAAGCTTTGGAAAAACGGCCATATCGCTACACACAACACATCGAACAGGTGACATCAGAAGTGACATTTGTCTGAAGATCTAGGGCTTTAAGTCGCCTTTGGCACCCCTTCGCCACGTGGACGCCTGAACGCCACGTATGAAGATATTTCCTCCCAGCTGTCAAGGTGAATAGTGGACGGAAAAATGCCACGTGGACCAACAGATTTCGAGACGCATATAAGCGCATGCAATACAAATTGTGAAAATTCGTGAGTTAGGCATCGAGACATTTAGATTTTTGTAAATATATATTTCGATACATCAGACCTGGCTATTTGCACTGACACCATAATCAACATGATCTGGCACAACTACATAATCAACATGAAGGTACTTCAGCAGAAGCAAACATTGCTGCCCTTTCAACCACTTGTGCCTGGAGTTCTGAAACACACGTAAAAACAGAAACATCAAATCTCAACAAAGGCAGGTTAGTTTTTTTCCCTCTTAGCCATGGTACCTGCAAAAACAGATGTTAGTCAGGAGAATACGAAGTAGTAGTAGACATCGAAAGGCACAAGAGCAGCACAAAAGGAAAGTCAGGAGAGCTGGAACATAACAAACACAAGGTAAGAAACATGGCACGTATAAAAAAAAAAAAAAAAAAAAAAAAAAAAAAAAAAAAAAAAAAAAAAAAAAAAAAAAAAAAAACAAACAAACAAACAAACAAACAAAACAAACGGCCAGTTACCTGTCAGCAGCGGTAGCTGTCAGGGCGCACCATAGGATGGTAATAAAAACAAATCTGGATGAAAGTCATGAAAAAACCCGAGTAAGAGAATGCGGCCATATAGTTGGCCGTGTATGTCGTATTTACGAAAATCCCCATATTCGCGCTGCCGTCTGTGCAAAGCATAGTAAGCGCATCCGCTGCTGGTTTAAAACCAGGGTGCACATTCAATTGGATTTCTGTCAAAGGTTAACCTTTGACCTCGGGGTTACTCAGTGATTTAGGAATATCTAGGGGGAGTGTTCGCTTCAGCAGGTGAACATTTGAACCCTCGAGATTTGGCAAATGTAAACCGAAGTCATCGAATGTGCTTCCGCCAATTCGTTTCCCCCCTCCCCATACCTATTCCGCTCCCACCGAAATTGTTTCCCCTTCCCCCACAATATCGTCTCACCCCCTTTCCCCTTTCCGCCAACCCAGTTGCCCTCCCCTTGATCCCCAATTTCTAGATCCAATTGTTATCAATTTCTCCCCTGCCAAGCCTCATCTCTCACGGACGAAAAGCCCCATGCTCGCCCATTCTCAACTATTTATTCGCTACTCGTCAACCAATCAGCAGTTCCCGCAAACATGCCGCCCAAAATTTAGCCTGGAGTCGCGTTGAATGTGTACCCTGGTTTTAAGCAAGAACGCCTAGTTCTGAATTAGCGTCAGAAATGACAAAGCGGAAATAACGAAAACAACGCGACATACTGCGACGTACCGGACCATGTAAAAAAGCAACACGATGCCGGGTCTTCCTAATCGACATCAACACCAGAGTCGTATCTGCAGCCAACATTCCAATGGCACAAAACACGGCAACAACAACAGAAAATATTAATAGGAGAGTGAAGTCGCAAGCATAGAGAGGTGCCATGAACACACGAGGCCGATAAAACACTAGAGCAAGGAGCGGGAAACCTAGCTGGAGTTTTCAGAAACAGACTAGAGATGTAATGTGAACAACAGCAACAAACTTAAAGCTGAAGTATACATTTATCAGCAGGGTTCAGGGTTTAGGGAGTGAGCCCCACAGGTTTGGGGCAACTTTTCAAATTTCAAAAGTTTTGGAACCCTTCCTTTCAAATGTATACCGCAGCTTTAAGTTACGATGTACAAATAAACAGATGAGAAACTGGCTGAGAAGAAAGGGTTCGAAGGTTGGGAGAACATGGGAGGGGTTGTGGGTGAGGAGATGACGTGGAGATAAGGAATGATTATGATTGGTGAAGCCTTGTTTGTTTCCTACGTCGATTGGTTAGAACTTTCCAAGGGTTAGGTTTGATGAAACAATTTTGGCACTTGGTGATTGGCGACATCCGCAAATGTCGTTGGCAATGAAAGTTTCGCGCTACTTGTGGATTGGTTGTTGAACACAACATTATCGTAATTTCGATCAGACGGGTAACATTTCGTTAGGTTTCGCCAAGTGGGCAGAGACATTGAAGGGGCGCAAGTGACATTTCTCTAGCTTTTTGGTTGCGGGTGACTGGCCATATGTCACGTCAAAGTCACTCGAGGCCAGAGCATTCCCCGCGTGCCGCCGAAGCTTTTCCGAAGCATTTTCGCAAGAAAAGCTTCTGTGTACATTTCGTGCACGCATAACATTTCGCGATGGAGAGAGGGCGCGGCAGAAGCGGCGAATCTAGAGCAGCGGCGCCTGTTCACATCCGCCACCGCGGCAGGCCTGTTGCTGCCCGGGGAGCTGCTGTGCGTCTACTACTACTTGGTCCACGCCATGCTCATTTACTCGCCTCCGGACGTGGCAGCGCGTGAGTGCAGCGGCAGCGGCGAAATGTGCTGCACCTCCACTGCTACTAGTAGTAGTACTACTAATATCAAAATTGCAGCTGTTTTGCTACACCATCTTCCCATCTGCCTCTTGTTCACCTCTCTTATCAGCGCTGCGGTCCAAGTTCTCCTTTCCCCCACTCCCGCACCCACCATCTCCCGCCGGGAGTGGCGCTCTCCTCTCCGCCCTGCCTCCAGTTACTGTAGGCCAGCCTGTGTGGCTGTACCACTCGCAGACACCGCTGTTTCAGCTCAAGGGAGCAGCAGGACTGCTTAAAAGCGAGCAGCAGGTCAGGCCCGCAGACGATCGAGGGGTACGAGAATCTGTAGTAACGCCGGGGATGGCGCAGAATGAATCGGGAAAAGAGGATGGGGCGGAGGCGGAGTGCGGGGCGGAGGAGGAGCGGCGGGCGGGGGAAGGGTGGAACGTCGCGGAAGCGGTGAGGTTCGGACGAGTGGAGGTGGAAGGCGCAGGGGCGGAACGCGCTCTAGCCAACCAGCGCACGTGCTTCTCCGTGACTGGTGGGACTGGTGGGACTGGAATGACGCGGGGGGCGGAAAGGGGATGCGAGGAGGCAAAAGTCAGCGAAAAGGGGAACTGGTGACAGCTGTGAGTAAAAAGGCAGACTGAAAAGGGCGCGGGAAGGCAAGGTGCGAGAGGGAAAGGAAAGTGCTTTCAGTGGGTGCTGGATTGAGGCCTATGTATGGTTCCAGGCCTCCTGAGAAAGCATTCTGTGTACTTCAAACAATGGCATCACTGATGACATGATGACCCATGCCATGCATTGGTTTGCACGTGCTTGGTTTGCATGGTCTGTCTCTGCATCCCTGTCGCTGCTGTCGCGGCTGTTTCTGGTGTTGCTCCTGTCGCTGCTGTTACTGGTCTTGCTGCTGCTGCTGCTGCTGCTGCTACTGCTGCTGGTGTTGCTGCTGCCGCTGCTTTTGCTGGTGTTGCTGCTGCCGCTGCTGTTGCCGGTGTTGCTGCTGCCGCTGCTGTTGCTGGTATTGCTGGTGTTGTTGCTGCTGCTGCTGCTGCTACTACTGCTGCTGCTGCTGCTGCTGCTGCTGCTGCTGCTGCTGCTGCTGCTGCTGCTGCTGCTGCTGCTGCTGCTGCTGCTGCTGTCGTGCCTGTTGCTGCTGCTGCTGCTGCTGCTGCTGCTGCTGCTGTTGTCGTGCCTGTTGCTGCTGCTGCTGCTGCTGCTGCTGCTACTGCTGCTGTCGTGCCTGTTGCTGCTGCTGCTGCTGCTGCTGCTGCTGTTGCTGCTGTCGTGCCTGTTGCTGGTGTTGCATGTGGCAGCATTCGATGAATCTGGAGACGCATTCGACGTTGGTTGCAGGTGCTGTATCCATCGCACCTCCCCCTCTCCTGCCCATCATGCCATGCCATCCTTACCTAATCGCTACTCTACACCCATATTCCCTTGCCATGCGCACTCCATCTCCATCCGCCCCGTCTCTTTATCCGCATCCTCAACCTCGGTACTTAATCACCCCTCTCCACTCCACAGCCCCTTTTTGTTAGTCGGCTAATAAATTAATCACCCCTCTCCACTCCATCGCTCCTCTCCACTCCATCACCCCTCTCCACTCCATCGCTCCTCTCCACTCCATCGCTCCTCACCACTCCATCGCCCCTCTGCTCTCTGCTGCAGGCAGCGGGCGTTCTTCGTGGCGCTACTCGCCTTTGACACCCTCGCTAACCGCTCCTCAGAACCACTCATTGCTGTCTCCTCTCTCTCGACGGAGTCACCCTCCACCGCCACCGCCACCATCATGACCAATACCAACCCCACCAACACCACCAGCGGCAGCAGCAGCAGTGCCAGCAGCTGCGGTGGCAACAGCAGTACCAGTGGGAGCAGCAGCGAGCGCGGGGTGGGTGGGGAGGACGCAGAGAAGAGGTGGAGAGTTTCCAGGAGAACGGCTAGAGTGACAGAGGCGCCGGCATGGGATGATGCTCTGAACGGGTGGACCGACTTGAGACTGGCAGCTCAAGTCAAGTACCGCCCCACATCCTCCTCACACGAGGTGCTCTCTCCTCTCTCACAACGGTCGTTGTATTTAGGAAGCCTGGGTGCAAAGAGGTAAACATGTACCCACAGGCTAGCACACTATGGCAGCTCTAGCGGCAAAATGGTCGTTTGTATTGATGCACGATCAAACAGACAAGTAAGGCCATAAGTGAGGCCATGCTGTCAGACATACATGATATAGCCTGTGTAGGCTGCAGTGGGGTAGCCAATAGGGGGTACAGCTTTTCTAGGGTTTCATACTTGTACCTTTCTCATTCCTAGTCAATTCATTCCTCGTTCTTATTCTCACATGGTATTAGAGCAGAATCGTTCCTAGGGCCCACCGAACGTTCCGCCCTGCCCTAACTGAATTTTTTTTTTTAGCTGCCCCTACGGCCGCGCTGCCCTTGCAGCCCGCGTGCTGCCCCTGCGACCGTGCTGCCACTGCAGCCGTGCCTGCCCCTGCAGCTGTGCCTGCCCCTGCAGCCGTGCCTGCCTCTGCAGCCCGTGGGAGCTGCCCCTGCAGCCCGCGCGCCGCCCTCCCGAGCAGCTGTGCCTGCCCCTGCAGCCGTGCCTACCCCTGCAGCCCGTGGGCGCTGCCTCTGCAGCCGTGCCTGCCCCTGCAGCTCGTGGGCGCTGCCCCTGCAGCCGTGCCTGCCCCTGCAGCCCGTGGGCGCTGCCCCTTCAGCCGTGCCTGCCTCTGCAGCCCGTGGGAGCTGCCTCTGCAGCCCGCGCGCCGCCCTTAACCGAGCTTGTTGCGACGCCCCTGCGGGACCCGCGCGGCGTCCCCCTCCTGCTCGTCGCGGCGCCCCCAGGGCGTCGCCCCTGCTCGTCGCGGCGCCCCCTGGGCGCCGTCCCTGCTCGTCGCGACGTCCCCGGGCGTCGCCCCTGCTCGTCGCGGCGCCCCCTGGGCGCCGTCCATGCTCGTCGCGACGCCCCCGGGGCGTCGCCCCTGCTCGTCGCGGCGCCCCCTGGGTGCCGTTCCTGTTCGTCGCGGCGCCCCCTGGGCGCCTTCCCTGCTCGTCGCGGCACCCCCGCGGCGCCTTCCCTGCTCGTCGCGGCGCCCCCCCCTGCAGCAGCTGCCTCGGAGCCCCGCCCTGCAGCAGCTGCCTCGGAGCCCCGCCCTGCAGCAGCTGCCGCGGAGCCCCGCCCTGCAGCAGCTGCCTCGGAGACCCGCCCTACAGCAGCTGCCGCGGAGCCCCCTGCCGCCGTAGCGGCCCCGCCCTACAGCAGCTGCCGCGGAGCCGCCTGCAGCAGTCGCGGCCCCGCCCTGCAGCAGCTGCCGCGGAGCCCCCCTGCCGCCGTCGCGGCCCCGCCCTGCTGCAGCTGCCGCGGAGCCGCCTACAGCAGTCGTGGCCCCGCCCTGCAGCAGCTGCCGAGGAGCCCCCTGCCGTTGTAGCGGCCCCGCCCTGCAGCTGTCCCGGCCCCGCCGTCGCCGCCGTCGTGCGCCTACCGTGCTCGCCCGGCGAGCGACTGCCCTTCCCGCCACTGGTGAGCACTTGCCCTACCCGCGCTTCCCGCGTGCCTGCCTTACTAGCGCGCTGCCACACTGCCCTGCCGTGCTGCTACTGCTGTTACTGCTGCTACTGCTGCTACTGCGGCTACTACTGCTACTGCTGCTCCTGGCGGTGGCCAGATGCAGCTCCAGCGACGTCCGCGTGAGTCCCTCACGCCCCAGCAGCTTCGTGAGTGGTACGCTAGTTGGGGTTGTAGGGGTGGCCGCGCTGCTACTGCTGCTACTGCTGTTACTGCTGCTACTGTTGCTACTGCGGCTACTACTGCTACTGCTGCTCCTGGCGGTGTCCAGATGTGTCAGATTTATATGACATAGCTACTGTAGGCTAGAGTGGGGTAGCACATATGGGGTACAGTTTTCTAGGGTTTGCTTCTTGTACCCAACTTTCACTTAGTCATTCTCATTCCTGTTTTTCTTGATTCACATGGTATAGAGCGGGTTCCTACATGGGACCGTTCCTTCCTAAGGGCCCACCATAAGAATTTTTTTTAGCTGCCCGCGCACATTGCGCCCTGCCCTAAATTTTTTTTTTTAGCGGCCCCTACGCTGCCTCTACGCGGCCCCTAAGCCGCCTCCCACGCGCCCCCTATGCGGCCCCTGGCGGCGCCCTGACGAGGCCCCTGCCGGCGCCCTATCTCGGCCCCTGACGCGCCCCCTGGTGGCGCCCTGACGCGGCCCCTGGCGGCGCCTGACGCGGCCCTGACGCGGCCTGACGCGGCCCCTGGCGGCGCCCTGACGCAGCCCCTGCCGCGGCCCTGACGCGGCCCTGCCGCGCCCCCTGACGCGGCCCTGACGCGGCCTGCCGCGGCCCCTGCCGCGGCCCTGAAGCGGCCCCTGACGCGGCCCTGACGCGGCCCTGACGCGGCCCTGCCGCGGCCCCTGGCGGCGCCCTGACGCGGCCCCTGACGCGGCGCCCTGACGCGGCCCCTGCCGCGGCCCTGACGCGGCCCTGCCGCGGCCCCTGACGCGGCCCTGAAGCGGCTCTGCCGCGGCCCTGACGCGGCCCTGACGCGGCCCCTGACGCGGCCCCTGCCGCGGCCCCTTACGCGGCCCTGACGCGGTCCTGCCGCGGCCCCTGGCGGCGCCCTGACGCGGCCCCTGACGCGCCGCCCTGACGCGGCCCTGCCGCGGCCACTGACGCGGCCCCTGCCGCGGCCCCTGACGCGGCCCCTGACGCGGCCCCTGTCGCGGCCCCTGACGCGGCCCCGCCACCTACCTTTCTGGCCCCGCCGCCTCCTCTCAGCGGCCCCGCCGCCTCCTCTCAGCGGCCCCGCCGCCTCCTCCCAGCGGCCCTGGACGCCGCCCTCTCAGCGGCCCCGCCGAGCCGCCCAGCAAGCCTAGCCGCCCAGCAGCTGAGCCACCGAGCCGCCCAGCAGCCGAGCCGCCGAGCCGCCCAGCAGCCGAACCGCCCAGCAGCAGAGCCGCCGAGCCGCCCAGCAGCCGAGTCGCTGAGCCGCCCAGCAGCCGAGCCGCCGAGCCGCCCAGCAGCCGAGCCGCCCAGCAGCCGAGTCGCCGAGCCGCCCTGCAGCCGAGCCGCCCGAGCCGCCCTGTCCGGTAAGAGCAGCGCCTCTCTCACAGCACTGCCCTCACCCCACTGTTTGCGCTGCTAGTCTACTACTGTCATGGCTACCCCTAGTGTCCTCGCTTTTGACGCTGAGGGTCGGGCCATTGACTTTGACGTCTGGATAGATGACCTGCAGCTTTTCTTACAGTGCGATAGGGCAGACGGCCTCTCCCTCTTTGACCTCACTTCTGGTGCCTCTCCTGCTCCCGCCACTGATGCTGACGCAACTGTTCGCTCCCAGTGGGCCACGCGCGATGCTGCTGCACGTCTTGCTGTGCGTCGCCACCTGCCTACCTCTGAGCGTGCGCACTTTAGCCAGTACAAGAGTGCTCAGACCTTGTACGACGCTGTAGTTGCACGCTACTCCTCCCCTGCCACTGCTGCACTGAGCCGCCTCATGCTACCGTACCTCTTCCCTGACCTTGCTGCCTTTCCCACAGTCGCTGACCTCATCACGCACCTCCGCACTAGTGACACTCGCTACCGCGCTGCACTTCCTGCTGAGTTCTGCGCCAAGAACCCCCCCCCCATGTACATCACCCTCTACTACATCGTCACCCGTCTCCCTGACTCCCTTCGCGTAGTCAGGGACCACTTCCTCTCGGTTTGTCCCACCACTCTCACCGTTGACCTCCTCGAGAAGGCCCTCCTAGCAGCAGAAAAGAGCATAGTCGCTGTAGGAGCCTCTCGTGGTGACCCTCGCACCCCCATCTTTGAGGGGTGTTCCCCCTCCCCTCTTTTGCCCTCTGTTGCCTCTGCTGCTGCGGCCGACCTCGCTGGTTTGGAGTCGGTTGGGGCAGCGTCTACCCCTAGCGGGAGACGCCGCCCTGGCAGGGGCAAGGGGGGCAGGGGCGCTGGAGGAGCTAGCGGGGGCGGTGGAGGCGGCGGTGGAGGTGGTGGAGGAGGTGGTGGTGGCGGTGGGAGTGGTGGCGGGGGTGGAGGTGTAGGTGGCGGCAGTGGAGGCGCAGGAGGCAGCGGCGGTGGCGGAGGGAGCGGAGGTGGCGGCGGTGGAGGAGGAGGCGGCGGAGGAGGTGGAGCTGGTCGGGGTGGCGCTGCGCAGAGGGTCAGCTCCGGTGGTGGTCAGCGCCAGCAGCAGCAGCAGCAGCAGCAGCAGCGCACTCGTGACGTCCCCTCCCCTCAGCAGCTCCGTGAGTGGTACACTGCACGCCAGAGGGGTGGGGGTGCTGGTCCGTGCACCTACGTCCTGCGCACCGGCGACCGCGCGGGTGAGCAGTGCGGGGGTGCGCACTCCACCCAGCGCTGCTTTGGCCGCCTCACGGACGCTTGGCGTCACCAGTTCCCTGAGGCCACTGAGATCCCCCGCTGGGGTGAGCTGTCTAGGGCAGGTGTAGCTGTCTTTGACCTTGACTTTGATGCTATTCTTGCTGCCGTGTATACTGTGACTATTAGTGATGAGGGTGACTGTTACCGGTGTTTTCCGCCCGACCCGGGCATTGAGACTGCTGCTCTAGGTACTGGTGAGGCTGCTGCTCTAGGTGCTAGCGAGGCTGCTGCTCTAGGTGCGTCTACTCCCTCAGGTGCTGGTGAGTCTGCTCTCTCAGGTTCTGCGTCGGCTTCGGCCTCCCACACCTTCATACTTGACTCGGGGGCTTCTCGCTCCTTCTTTCGAGACCGCACCACACTCACGCCGCTTGGCCGGCCAGTTGCGGTCTCCCTGGCAGACC